ATAGTCAAATTTTTTTGTGTCGAGACTTTTTTAACCTGATTTTTTTGTCTTTTGTGAAAGAAAAAGTGTAATGATTATGGATTGTATGTGATATTTTGTCTTATTAACTTATTTAACTTATTTTGTGCTTTTTTAACCCCAAAATAATAACCAAACCAGTATTATGCAATTACTCAATATGCACAAATAGAAATCATATTTTAATTTTCTTTAATTTTTTTTTAAAAGTCTACACCAATCAATTAATTTTGGAGAAATCATAAAATAAATCACATAATTTAACTATTGTAATAAAATAAACTCTAACTTTTTAACTTTATCAATTTGAATTATAAAATTTTGATTTATTTTCAATCTAAAACATCTATTTATTTTTATTAAGCAAAACTGATAAAAAAATTCGTATTTTAGTCATTAAAATCAACAAAAAAAAAAAGTATATTTTAGTTATTTTATATATACCTACATTGATTTTTGTGACTAAAGTATTCTATTTTCGTCAATTTTACTTAGCCTCCGTTTGGGAAGTGGGTTGGCTTTTTGGCTTTTTGGCTTTTTTGGCTATTTTAGCCTGGGCTAAAAAGTTTGGTTTGGGTCTCCGTTCCAATTCACTTCCATCAACATGTCCAAAAGAAAACTTCATTATAACCATGAAAAAAAAAGGATGCTCCCTAGATTTTACATCTAATTGAGGCCTCGTTTGGCAAGAGGCTATTTTAGCCAATTAGTCAAAAAGTTACTAAATTAGCCAAAAAGCCAACAACCCATACCAAAAAGTCAAAGATTCTCTTTTCTCTCTACTTTTTACACATCTTTTCGTAATTAGCCAAAAAGTCATCCCAAACATACAAGTTTTTTTTACTTTCCTTTTTAGCCAAATAGCCAAAAAGTTACTAAATTAGCATGTTCCCAAACGTAATCATTACACTCTTTTCTCACAAAAAAAATCAAAAAAGCTAAAAAACCAAAAAACCAACCCACTTCCCAAACGGAGGCTATTTGGGTCTAGCTTGTAGAATTTTGAAGCTCACACAATATTAAAAAAAAAATAAAAAAAATTTAATCAGTGTATTTGGTTTGAGTTTTTTGAATTAAGTTTTTTGAAAATTTAGTTTTTTAGTTTTTGTATTTTTTTATTTTTAGTGAATATTTTTAAAATTTTAAATATTTTTTTTACTTTTTTAGATACACCTTACTTAGATGTATCTAAAAAGTAAAAAATTTATGAAAAAATATTTTAAAAATTTAATAAGTCCATAAAAATATAAAAAATATACTGAATTCTCGTATTTTTTTTATATTTTTGGTATTTAATGAATTTTTAAAAAGTTTTTTCACAAATTTTTTACTTTTTAGGTATATTTATGTTAGATATGTCTAAAAAGTAAAAAAAAAAATTGTTTAACATATTAAAAAATTCAATAAAAATAAAAAAATACAAAAAACAAGAAAGTAGAATTTTCTAAAAAGTATTTTTAAAAAAACACAACCAAACAAGCTGATTCTTATTTATTTAAGTAGGTGAAGAGAAAATGACTTTAATTGATTTCCCAATGGTGATGGAGGTATCACTCTCTTTGCCCATAACTCCAATTATTTGAACAATGACATAATTCAATTCAAAAAATTTTAAAGTTGTGTTTGTTTTAAAAATGGATAATTTTTTTTTTTTAAAAAGGATGGATTATTTTGAGGATGATGTTTTAAATTTATATTTTACAAATAATATCGCACCCATAAGTGAACTTACACCCCCATCTTAGGGTTGGTTTGAGATGTTTTAAAAAAGTGCACTTTTTAACTTATTGGCTTATATGGGTTGGGTTTGGGTTGAGTTTGATGTGATGTGTTAGAGAGATGATGTGATTTAAATAAGATGATGTGACTTAAATAGGATAATGACTTTTTAACTATTTATATTATTTAATAGATGCCAAACTTGACCTAATATTATAATGTGAGGACAATTGTCCTATCCCGCATCCTCCATTTTGATTCATGTAAATTTTTTTACACCCCTAATTACTATTATAATGCAAGGACAATTTGTCCTATCCCCGCGTTCTCCAGGTGTTTGGAATTTGATTTTTCGATTTTTTTTGATTTTTTTTCATCAAAAGGCAAATTGGTTATAAAATTTTAAAAAATAAATTCAAACAAAATATCACATCAAATTCTATAATCATTTTATTTTTTCTCTCATAAACATCACATCCAACTACAAAAAAGTTCAACTATCTTTCTAAATACAAAAAAAAATTTCTCCAATAATATCTTATAACTAAAAAAACCTAAAAAAAAAATCCACTTCTCAAACACCCACTTTGATTTATGTTAATTTTTTTTATATTTTAATAATAAAACAGAAAGAGATTACCCTCAACACTTCTCCATTCCTACCCACACATCTTGCTCGCGCTGCCCCATCCTCTCTCCATTTACCATCACTTCCATAAATTTTTTTGTTTAGCCCTTCTCAATTGTGTCCTATTTTCAAGTTTCAAATCATTTAAACAAAAATTATTAAATTATTTAAACAAAAATTATGTCTAGAGTCGCATCTCATTCCTACCATCACTTCCCTAGTTTTTTTTTTAAAGGAAATTACATGTCAAAGGCCTGTTAAAAAATTAATTACAATTTCATTAAAAAAATATATATATGACTTTATTTTTTAACATTTATAGCTCTCGTTTGGCATAAGTTAAACGAGAATTTTTTGGCTAAAATAGTTACAAAAAAATAAAATAGGCTTTTTAATTCAATAAGATAAAATGTCACATTTAAATTATAATAATTTCATTTTTTTCTCACAAAAGTAAAAAAAATCAAAAAAACTATCTCAAATGAAACTTTTTAGCTCAGGTTAAAATAGCTAAAAAATTAACCTACATCCCAAACGTACCCATAATATTTTTCACTAATTTAAAAATAATTTTCCCAACCTCTACTGATATGAAATTAACCCTTTTTTTAAAGTCCTTTTTCCCAATTGATATAGTCATTTTTACATTAGCAACGTTCCATTAATGTATTTTTTAAATTTATTTTAAATGTTATGTTATATAACATTATTGTTGAAATAATAATTAGAAAAATGTTTAGGACTTCTTTTTTTTGAGAGGTTTTATGACCTCCAATTTGATTTTGATTTTTGATATATGCGGGGAGTCTATTTATATATGTATAGACCTCACATTATGAATGGTTAAAATTACGGTGGGAATTGTAGGATGAGTGATGATTTAGAACACTAAATTTGAAGTTTTAAAAACATCACTAATGAAGTGGTAATGTAAAAATAAAATAAAATAAAATAAAGACCAAACTATCAGATTAATGGTAAAGTCTATATGATATTACATTATTAATAATGTTAAATTAGTGGTACGAAGCATTTTTCATTGTAGGATTATGTATGTATGTGTCCCTATCAATTTTAATAATTATAGGCCATGAGAAAATCATTCCATTGGATACTGGTCTAAAACGGTATATATCTCCATTCAAATAGGGCCCACTTATTGTTATTGCACGAGACCGAAGACTTTTCACAATTCATACTTGGAAGTAGGTTTTATTCTTAAGAATAATACTTGAGACCCCTTTTGGGGTCACCCCTCACCCCCTTTGTCACATAGTGGGTGGTGATTGGAGGAGTAGGAAAAAAAAGAAAAAGAAAAGAAAATGTAACCAATGAGAGAGAGAGGGGGTCAAAGGGGGTGGGAGGAAAAGGAGATGAATCATTGTTGTATTCTTAAATTAAGGTCGAGTTTGCGAAGTCAATAAAAAGTTAAAAAATTATTTAAAAAATTAATATTATTTATTAAAAATTAAAAATTACGGCTGTATAACTTTTAATTTTAATTTTTTTCTACACATTAATTTATACAATTTTTTAATACATATTTTTTTATAAAAATTTAAAAAATTAACCTAAACATCTATATTTTTTCTTTAATTTTTTAGTTTAAAAAGATAAAAAATACACTTATTTAAGACATCTAAAACAATTCTTAAATCTATCAAATTTATAACAAGTTTTCCAAACAAATCTCTCTCTCACACACATCAAATCAATCACTTTTTCCAAAACTCTATCTCAAAATAATTTTCCAAAACATCTTTTAAAAAAAACCAAACCAAACATGTTTTCGTACTTTTTATCTCTAAAACACATCTCTCAAACACAAACCAAACATACCCACAAAATTTTATTATTAGCCATCTCAATTACACAAGCATCGCCCGTATCAAATAAGAGTAATGTTAGACCCTAAATATTCTACCAAAAGTTTTACCAAATGTCTCACATGGGTGTGGGACCCACACAATGTGGGTCCCATGTGGGTCCCACACCCATGTGAGACATTTGGTAAAACTTTTGGTAGAATATTTAGGGTCTAACATTACTCTTATTTGATACGGGCGATGCTTGTGTAATTGAGATGGCTAATAATAAAATTTTGTGGGTATGTTTGGTTTGTGTTTGAGAGATGTGTTTTAGAGATAAAAAGTACGAAAACATGTTTGGTTTGGTTTTTTTTAAAAGATGTTTTGGAAAATTATTTTGAGATAGAGTTTTGGAAAAAGTGATTGATTTGATGTGTGTGAGAGAGAGATTTGTTTGGAAAACTTGTTTGGTTTACAAGTTTTGGGAAATTTTTTTGGGAAAATTTGTTTGGTTTGGTTATTTTTGAAAACTTATTTGTAGAGAAAATTTCCCAAAATTTTTTCAGAAAATCAAACCAAACGAGCCCAAAAAATTTAATTTTAAAAATAACAATGATAGAGACTACTAATTTTGGAGCTCTAAAAAGACCATTAATGACATGACACTCAATAAAAAAAAATATAACACCAAAATCAAAATATCAAATTATTCATAATGAGACCTACTATCACATCATTAGTAATAACACTAATTAATACACCATCCATTTTCCTATTAAAAAAGCAGGTCTTTCATCACAATGAGTATTTTCGAAGCCAGAGGACCCACATGTGTTTTGTAGAGTGTAGTTTTCAGAACAGCCATTAATTTACTAGAGAAGTCCCTTTTTTTGACAGATGGGTATTGCACTTCACTTTGTGTTTCCAAACCACTATAATACAAGGGATTGGAAATCAACACAGTGATTTTTTTAAGGCAATTTTGAAACTGTTTTTGTCCATAGACACCCATTTGAAACTGGTTTGGGTATGAGAGAGTTCAGAGATTTTGGTCAGTTTTGAGGCATATAGGGTTGGATTTTGGAATCTTCTAGTGGGTTGAGTGAGCAGAAGGTGGGGCAGAAGCTTGGAGGGGTTGACCTAAAACCTGTCTGATTAGGGAATCTTTTTGGGTGGTTTTGGACTGAGATTTGAGTCTTGTGTGGAAGTGGGTTTTTTTTCTTGGTGTTGTTCTAGGGACAATTACTGGAAGCAAAGATTGTTTCTAGGGTTTTGGTGAGTGTTTCCGTCTATTAGGGGAAGTTTTGCTATAGTTGGGAGGTTTTGGGAGGTGGGTTCGATCAATCTTTGGTGGGTTCAAGAGTGGAGGCTGCATTTTCATGGTGTTCCAAGGATCTGAGGGTTTCTGGGTGAGATTTGATTTGGAGTTGTAGTTTTTGAGTGCACAAAATTGGTGGGTTTGTGTCTGTAATCATGAAAGTGCCTTTGGTTTGGGGCAGTTACAAGTGCATTGCCCTAAACTGAAGGGTTTATTTTGGTTGAATTGAAGGGTTTTGGAGTTGGAAAAAAGGGGTTTTGTAAAAGGTCTGTTTGGCTTGTGAATTAGCTTTTGTTTCTCACTGACGCTGTGCTCTGAAGTTTCAGTTGGCTTGAAGTTGCAAAAATGGCTTGTATGAAGTTGGGTTCCAAAACTGATGCATTCCAGAGGAAAGGACAGGCCTGGTATGTTCTCTGATCTCTGTAGTTTGCCTTCTCTGATATCTGTAGACTTCAATTTTTGTAAAATTCATTTGACCATGTTATTTTTATCCTGTGAATCCAACAGTAGGAGAGTTTCTCTTCATTTTCTTCTTCTTTTGATTCCTTTCCTTGCGTTTGGTCTATGTACTGTGTGTTTGTGAATTCATTTGTAGATGATTATTACAAGCTGGTTGAAATTGTTCTGGTGTTCTTTTTTTCTTTTCTTTTTTCCTTTTTCCTTTTTTTTTTTTGTTTAATTTTTAAATTAAAGCATGGAGCATTATCGCATCATCTATTGCTTTTGCTCCGCAATTTGCATCTTTAATTTCTTTTCTGACTGGTCTCAGTTTTTGTGTATTAAGAGAACTTTAAGGCTCTGTTTGGATCTTGGACTTGGGGAGGAATTTGTAGAGGAAAAAGAAACTATAAGAGAAATGTGAATGAAATTTTTCATTCACGATTCTCTTTACAGTCTTTTTCCTCCACAAATCTCTTTCCAAATCTAACATCCAAACACAGCCTAAGGTTTAGGTTCTGAATGGAGATTCATGTTTTCATTTTTTTACTTGTTCATGCTTTTGAAATTTGTTACCTTGAGTTGGAATTAACAGGATAAAATTGGGTGAATGGTCTCCAAATTCCCCATTGCTATGCTCAAATGGCATGGCTTGTTGAGTTCTTCAACTGTTGGTGGATGGATCTGCCAACAGAGTATTAAATGTTGTCCACATGTATATGTTGGGTTGTTGAGAAACAATCTGGTTGTCAATATCTTTGCTGAAAATTTTTACACCTTTTATCTTAATGGAAAGAAGAATTTATGACACAAAGCAATGAGTATCCTCTCATTGAATAAAAGAAAAAGAAAGATTAACCGATAGTTCAGGGAGGGACTTGAGCTATAGCATGTCTTTCTTTGCTTTTACTCGTTTCCTTGCATCAAGTGCGATGTTGCCTAGTAGTTTGGCACCATGAACTTGACTGACAAGGACAACTCTGGTTTCAGAGGCATTATTGTGAGGAACATCCATCAAATTGGGTTATTTGGATGGATTCACATTTTTTGGTATTTTTTGCTCCTGGCATTCTATGTAATATTCATGTGTATGTTACCATTACTCTATTCATTCAAAACTTCTTTGATCATGGCTTTCTTTTATTAATCATTTCATGCAAAGAGATTCACCCTAGCTCCCTTTCTTGACCATAAATGTGGTGCATGTTCATGAGATGTGACTTATAAATGTATGACTTCAAGCAAAAATGTTTGTTTTCCCACAATGTAATTTGACCTTTCTTGTTTGAATATTACTGTAGGTTCTGCACCACTGGCTTGCCAAGTGATATTGTTGTTGAAGTAGAGGAGATGTCCTTCCATCTGCACAAGGTAGTATATATATGTTTCAAATTTTAGTGAGTGATGTTAATTTAGTGGTGACTGGTCTCTGAGATTGCTTATAAATCAGATCTTGCTTCTTGTAGTTGTATAAGCTACACTTTATTGAGTTTCCAATCAATTATTTTGAGTAAAAATGATTTTTCATAGTTTCATGGTGTCTTGTGTGTGAAAGATGGTAAGTGAGCTGGAGTCGCATGTTTATTGTGCTAACACACTCCTTATGTTTGTGTGTGTCCTTTTATTGGCATTTGCCAAGTGTCTTGTGATGATTCTAGGCCCCTAGGGTAATTGCTTCGATTTTTCGCTCTCAAGTCTTATATTTTAACCTTACAGATGTTGAGAGGGGGAGATGTGAGGAAAATACATGAATTTTTGAAATATAACTTCTTTAATTCCTGCATGATTTTGATCAATGATCTGGTATTCCAACTGATGGAAGTTGTGCCATTTTCTCAGATCTTGTCTGAAAATCAAGTTGGATACAGATCTTGCAGTTTGGGTCTGAACCCTGATTATGGATCAGGATGTGACAGGACTGATCTTGGATTTTGGTGGAATGGATCCTTTGTTGAATCAAATGGATATGCATGAACGCTGATACTATATTTTGCACATGTATTAAGGTCAGGTTTTCGGATCTAAGATCAGAGTCAGACTTCAGAGCAGAAATATTGGCTTAATGTTTAGGAATGCTAACCAGATAGTTAAATGGGTAATCCAAGATGAAGTTTGAAGGCTTGAGCAACAGCCAAATTAGAGTTTGAGAGTTTAAATTGGAGGCCAATAGGTAGGATGAAGGTTTCAGGGTTAATTTGGGGCTTGATTGCCTTGGGTTTTGGGACTGAAAGAAAGAAGAAGAGGAAAATTCTATGACATATAACCCATGTCAAGCAATTTGCAAAATTACACTAAAACCTTATAAGATGACTTGAATTTGTCCAGCAACACTCTAACTAACCTATAAAATTACATTATTAAAAAAAAAAAAAAAACTGATTTAACCTTACACAAGTTAATTACATCTGAAGTGATCTCCATGTGGCATTCTAGATTTGCTCTTTTGTTCTTTCCATGCTCTTGTACTGAAATGAGATATATATAATCAGGTCATTGATTGGTTTGGGCGAGATCATACAAATCGAAATAAGGTTTTTGGATGGGTTTTCATCTGGTTTAGGTCAATCCTATATGTCTGGACTTCCATTTTATCCCTACAATTATCAGCACATCACTTTGTGTAAATTTGCTCCTTTTAATTTTGTGTAAATTTGCTCGTGGTCACTTCACTTTGTGCAAAAATTTAAATGTGATTTGGTTGCAAGAATTTGAATTCATGTTTTTTGAACCATAACAAATGTGGTGCAAACCTGTACACATGTATGGGATTCAAGGAGGGCCTTGATATGGAGATATATTTTTTTTCCTCAAAACTTCATTTCGTTTTTGTGATCTCTAATGTCTTTTAAAATTCATGCAATGCAGTTTCCTTTGCTTTCTAGAAGTGGGGTTATGGAAAGATCGATCGCGGAATCATCCGAGGACAGTGAAGAGGGCTGCGTCATCAAGCTCCCCGACATCCCTGGTGGAGCTAAAACATTTGAACTCGTAGCCAAATTCTGCTATGGTGTGAAACTTGAACTCACTGCCTCAAATGTCGTGTTCCTACGCTGTGCCGCCGAACATCTTGAAATGACAGAAGACTACGGAGAAGGCAATCTGATTTCACAAACCGAAATATTTCTCAATCAAGTTGTCCTCCGTAGTTGGAAAGACTCTCTGAGAGCACTACAGACCTGTGACGATATTCTCCCTCATGCCGAAGAACACCATATTACAAAGCGATGCATTGAGTCTTTAGCCTCAAAGGCAAATACAGACCCAAATCTATTCGGGTGGCCTGTTATGGAGCACGGTGGGCCCATGCAGAGTCCTGGCGGGAGTGTATTGTGGAATGGCATAAGCACAGGAGCGAGACTAAAAAATTCTAGTTCAGATTGGTGGTATGAAGATGTGTCGAATCTGAGTTTGCCTCTTTACAAGAGATTGATTTCGGCCATGGAATCTCGTGGAATTAAACAAGAGATTGTTGCAGGGTCTCTCACTTTCTATGCGAAAAAGTACCTTCCAGGTCTGAATCGGCGTCAGGGGTCTGGTGAGTCGAGCAGTCGTTTGGCACCGGCCCCGCCATCTGAAGACGATCAGAAACTTTTACTCGAAGAAATCGATCGGTTACTTCCGATGCAAAAGGGCTTAGTCTCAACTAAATTTCTCTTTGGTTTACTTCGCACAGCCATGATTCTTCGAGCGAACCCATCTTTTGTATCGAACTTGGAAAGAAGGATAGGGATGCAACTTGATCAGGCGACTCTGGAAGATCTCTTGATACCCAACTTCTCATATTCCACGGAGACTCTTTACAATGTCGATTGTGTGCAGCGGATTCTTGAGCACTTTCTGGCCGTTGATCAGGTGACGGGTGGGGCCTCCCCTTGTTCAGTTGATGATGGACGGTTGATGGGGTCACCATCTTTGACACCAATCACGATGGTAGCCAAGCTGATCGATGGATACCTTGCCGAGGTTGCCCCCGATGTTAATCTGAAGCTCCCCAAGTTTCACTCTCTTGCCGCTGCTGTTCCTGACTATGCTAGGCCCTTGGATGATGGTCTTTATCGTGCAATCGACATTTATCTGAAGGTAAAATTTACTTTATTGCTACATAGAAAGATTGACCATGAGTAACTTTGTTGTTCCTGTGTCAATCTTAATTGATCTACTGTCAATGAAAGCACAATAGAGTCTCCCTCAGGATGAATTGGTAGGTTGTGTTTTGGTTCTAGGAATATTGAATCATGATTCCTGTCTTGTATTTCTTTAATGCATGGAAAAGCAACATGGATACGGACACGGGTACTGACATGGGATGGGACACAATTACTTTGAAAATGGTAAGATATGGACACAGTGAGGATTCAACAAAAATCTATATTTTTTGACAATTTTTTATTTGCTAGTTATATTGATATAAGAGAGCCCAATATATATTTGGGTGTATATTTGTTTTTTTTTTCACTTTTCCTCTCTTTGTTTTCATATATTTTACTTTGATCCCAAATTAGTTTTTCTAAAATTATATATAAAAAAAAAAATCAGAAGACACACATGTCCCTAACATGACCTGCAAAAAAGTAGTAATTAAAAAATTGACACACCATGTGGCGTGTCAGAGTCTGATGCATGTTGGACACGGCACCTGTTTGAAGTGTCCGTGCTTTTTAGGATTGGGTTCATTCACTTTGTTAATTTGGCCTTATCGACCTTCCCTTTGTTTGCCATTCGGCAGTCACACCCATGGTTGGCAGAGCCGGACAGAGAACAACTCTGCAGGTTGATAGACTGTCAGAAGCTCTCCTTGGAAGCGTGCACCCATGCTGCGCAAAATGAGAGGCTCCCTCTTAGAATAATAGTCCAAGTCCTCTTCTTCGAGCAACTCCAACTTAGGACTTCCATAGCGGGCTGTTTCTTGGTCTCTGACAACCTCGACGGTTCAAGACAATTACGAAGCGGTTTGGCTGGATCCACCGAAGGAGGTTGGGCTACGGCTGTGAGAGAGAATCAGGTGTTGAAGGTGGGTATGGATAGCATGAGGATGCGGGTTTCCGAGCTTGAAAAAGAGTGTTCGAACATGAGGCAAGAGATCGAGAAGTTGGGCCGAGTAAAGGGCAGCTCGAGCCCATGGGGAAGCGTGTCGAAGAAGTTTGGGTTCAAGATGAGGTCACAAATGTGCAGTGCTCAAGAGGGGTCGGTTAGCAACCAGAATAATAACGGGGTTGGAAAGATTGAGAAGACGAAAGACAAGAATGGAAAGCCCAAGAAAAACTTGTCATCAGACGGGTAAGAACTAAGAACTTTTCTTTTATTTTTTTTACTTTATTTTTATTTTTATTTTCTTGTTAATGGTTTTCAAGTTTTTATCGTTTGTATTTCTACTTTTCTTTTTTTTGAGTTTAGAAAACTAAAATCAATCGATATTTCTGTGTCATATTTGTTCAATGATGTTTTTTCATGATTTAAACCCTGTAATGGAGATGGAGTATGTAGCAAGTGTATTTTATGTTTGTTGACAGTACTTTGCATGTGAAACTGTACAAGTTGGTTCCTTAATAATTGTACACCCTACAATGATGAAATTCTTGTTGAGGCTATGGTTGGGAGTAACTCATTTTTGGATAAATTACACAGTTAGGTCCTTTTAACCTTAGGAAATTTCACTTTGATTCTCGTAGTTTCAATTCAAACAATATAATTTCAGTTTTGTTGCAATTTGGTCATTTTGTTACTTACCGTTAGAATTTTGAAATCTGGCGGACGGATGGCGGATTGGAGGTTCCGTGGCCGCAACCGACCCGCGCCCACCCCTACCTACAATGATGAAATTCTTGTTGAGGCTATGTTTGGGAGTAACTCATTTTTGGATAAATTACACTGTTAGGTCCTTTTAACCTTAGGAAATTTCACTTTGATTCTCGTAGTTTCAATTCAAACAATATAATTTCAGTTTTGTTGCAATTTGGTCATTTTGTTACTTACCGTTAGAATTTTGAGAAGGAACACGAGAAAAAAAGAGTAGAACTTTGGTCACTTTTTGCACGTGTTGTTTTTTCATCCAAAATGTTAACCACGTGTGACATAGGGGCAATGTTGCACCAAAAATGAAAGTATGATATTCAAATTGAAAGCACGAATTAAAATGACATTTTGGTATGTGGATTGATGTTCTATTATGTATAAGTTTTGAATATTTATTATTAAATTAAAATTGAAAAGCAATTCAAGTGGATCCTTGAATTGGTAAACTCATTAATGACAGGATTGGTCGCAATCAGAATAGCATCACTATTGTCACAAAAAAGGCATTGTCTTGGTGAGATGAAATCCAAAATCAAATAAAAATCATTTTACTAGTTGCCACATACGTAATATCACATCGAGATGTCAATTTGTTTTTTGCTCTCAATGAAATTGGGAAATTTGAACCTCCTGTTTTATGGTTCTTGACATTTCATGTTTTTGAATCGAGGCTTAGCTCGGTCTGCTTCAAAATTCAAGCAATTAAGTAATAAGTCTTATTAACATATGTTTTGGTACAGGTTAAGAAAACTTAAAAATATTATACATTTTTTTATTATGTACACTTTTGTAAAGAATGTATAATCTATTTGAGTCTTTTAGCACAAGTTAACAAAATATTTCATTAATTGATCAATCAATTCATAGAAAGAGCAATTTACCTATGGACTTGGTTAATGCGCTTGTGTTAAAAAATTTTAGAAGATTATTCTGTATGGATATATATATGTTGGCTTTTTGGCTTTTCGAAGGGTATTTTTGTAAATGTGAGCGTGCCAGCAAGGATCAATCAGTCCTTACAGAAATTGTGATTGCCAATATAATAAAAATAATATAATATTTTTAAGTTTTATGAACATGTGCTTAAAGACACACTTTAACAAAATTATTTAACTATTAAAGTCAATCACACCATGAAACACAAGATTTCAAAGTAAAATAAGTGTAATAATTTAGGGGGAAAATTACGATAGTACTCAAAATCAATCAACTACAAAGCCTTAGTTTGGCATATCACAAAATGGGATTTTTTTAATTAAAATAGTCACAAAAAGATAAAATATATTTTTTACTCAAATAAGACAAAATGTCACAGCTCAACCATAATCATTTCATTTTTTTTTTCTTACAAAAGTTAAAAAAACCTATTCCAAACGAAACTTTTTAACCTCAAACTAAAATAATCAAAAAATCAACTCACATTTCAAATGAATCCTAAATTAAACAGTTACAAAACACAAGTCTTTTATCTAAAAAGTTTATCTACAATTGAATTTACGAGTTAACTTGATTTATGATCTGTGAATGTTTAAATAAGTATGAATCAATCTAAGTGAGACAATTTATTTGATTTACTAAAATAAATTGAAATGACATAGAATGGAATAATTATTTCTTAAACTTTCATATGAAATAATTATTTCTTTGGAAATGACAATTTAATTTGTAATGTACTTTGTCAACATTTTTTTGATCAATCAAACATAAAAATAAATATTTTGACAAAATAATTATTTTATTCCTCTTTATTTCACTCAATCAAATATTACTTTTAATCAAATCATGATTTTATACTATAGATTCAAGATCAATGAGATAAATCAATTGTTAGAGATGATAACGGAGTGACGCAGGCGCCCCTCTTCGATTGGAGGAGATATCACTAATTTTCTCATGATCTTATCTTGTGAGAATCATCATCCCTTTTTCTTTGTCATATTTGTTCATTTTAAAAAAAAAAAAAAAAAAAAAATCCCAATGGAAAAACATAAAAAAGAAAAGAAAATAATAAGCGTTTTGGGAAGTTGAAAAAAAGCTAATTTTTAACTTTTTACCACCGAAAAAGAAGGTTGGGCCATCCAGTCAATACCAGGGCCCAGGGGCCACTTTGAGGATTCATATGAATCAATTATGAAAAATAAAATAAAATTGATTCGATAGAAAAATATATAGGGTAAATTATATTTCGTCCTTATATTTGGTCACCTTTTTATTTTAACTTTTAAAGTTTATTTTTTCTCATTTTAATCTTTCATGTTTTAATTTTTTTTTTTACTTTACTCCTAATATTAATTTCTGTTAAAATTAAATAAAAAATAATACATTAACAAATATGTAATATAAAAATATTTTACTATATATAATTCATACCTCTGATATAAAAAACATGGAGAATTTTTTTTAAGGTCCCTGGTATTAAGATTTTGCAGCATAAAGGACACTCAATATTTTCATAATGTCTAAGGTCCCTCAAGTTGATCTAGAGAAAATTGATCTAGAGAAAATTCTCTCTAGAGAAATTCTTGAAATTTCTCTGGATTTCGAAATTTCTCTCCAGAGAAATTCTAGATTTATCTCCAAAGAAATTTTGAATTTCTCTGACTTCGGAATTTCTCTGACTTCAGAATGTGTTTTAACCAAATTTATCTGACTTCGGAATGTGTTTTAACCAAATTTAAACTTGTGCACTTTTGCCATTCTTTTTTTTTTGTGTAATAATATTTAAAATTTAGCTCTGGTAATTTAGCTCACAGAACGTCTATTGACAATGGAAGAAGAAACGAAGATGTTGAAAGAAGCTTTGGCAAGGTGCAACAGTGAATTGCAAGTTTCTAGGAGTATTTGGCAATAGAACTGAATTTTCTCTGGGTTGAGAATTTTCCAGAGAAATTCTCTAGGTTGAACTGGTACTCTGCTTCAGAGAAATTCTCTGGTTTGGTCCAGAGAAATTCTTTGGTCCAGAGAAATTCTCTAGATTCCAAAGCTTCCACAACACAAACAAACAGTATAATATATACATACGTACATATACGACTTCACCAATTTTACTCAGTTAAACTTCACTGAGTTTTAAATCAGTGGAGAGAGATAGAGAGAGAAAGAGATAAATTCCATAAGTAAAGCAAAACCACTCACTCACTCTGCTATTAAGAGGGAAATGAAGAACAAGAACACAAATATGGCTTCTATCTTTGGTCTCTTCTCCACATTTCTCTTCATACTATTAACCACCGCCATCAACACCCCTTCTATTGGAGCTTTTAAGGAATTCAGAGTTGGCGACAGCCCAGTGACAACCACACCGCGTTCTATGACCAGCGGGCTGCAACCAACAGATTTCTTGTTGGAGATTTACTCTGTTTTGAATACAATAATGACTCTGTTCTTGTGGTAGACAAATGGGGCTACTTTCACTGCAACATGAGCAATCCAATCTTTACCTTCAACAATGGCAACAACACTGTAGTTAGCCTTGACAAGCCTGGACCTATGTACTTTGTCAACGGAGACCCTGATCACTGCAAGAACGGTCAGTGATTGGTTATCCAAGTCATGACTTGCATGCATAAGCTGGTGGCGGCGACGCCGTTGATGGTGTCGGGATCGTTTAAGAGTTCGAGGAGGCGAGCTCCGCAGAGGCCGCTGAGTTTGGACGCGGATGAGTTCTTGAATTTGCTGCACGGATCGAATCCGGTGACGGTGGAGCTCAATCGGCTGGAAAAAGAAGTCATGGGTGAGAAATAAGAGTTGATCTGGACAGGTCTGAGAATGGAGAAGTTTAGAGAGAGAGAGAGAGAGAGAGATGAGTTTTGATTTGGTAAGGTCTAATTTCTCTGTGATATGTTTAGGGACCTTAGATATCAAAAAATAATTTTGTGGATCTCTTCCATTACGAAAAGTGAAAGAGGGACCCTAGACTAATTTTCCCTATAAACATAAGGACTCAAGGATTGATGCTGCCCCCTTCAAACCCTCCGTTAGCGGTTGAATAGGAAGGTAAAGAGGAGTTTTGTTGTTAATATTATTCTTTCGTCCTGTAGTTCTTATTAGATTCCAAGATCTCAATGCAATTTGAGGAAAATAAGTTTGCTCCTGCAGGTTTATATCCCTCTAGAATGCCTTATAACCCCTTATATGTATCTCTCTTCTTTCCCAGTAGCTAGTTGGTTGGGGAAGTTAGGAAAGAAAAGCAAGATCTGACAAAATACTATTGATTCTAAGAAGACTATAACGAGGAGGACGACAAATCCACTCGCGATTTATTAAAGAGCAAGAAGCTCAATTGATTTGAATCCAATTCGTGAGATGGCAATGATCCTTAATTGGTCATCGCCATAATGTAACCTCATTTTTCTTTTATTAAGATAATTCTAGTTAGTATTTGATCAAAAGATTAATTGATTCTGAAACATAAAATAACAAGATCAGAACCCTACGTGGACTATGAACCAACAAAAAGAAGAATGCTTTGAGTTCTAATATAACAATATATTTTTTATGTTTTATGACAATTATTATGATATTTTTTTGTCTAATTTTGAACAAAAATTAACTTAAAACAAAATAAATTTTAAGAGTCAAAATAAAAAAATAACCAAACATAAAGAAGGCAAAGTGAAATTTACCTTTTTTTTTTTTGTATTAATTGTAAAAAAATTTAATGTAAATTAATTTAAAAAAATTATATTTATCGATTTATTTATTTAATGATAAATATGCCGAGCTGTATTATAATATATAACTTTAAAACACAACCAATTCACACGGAATATTTTTTTTTTCCCTGGTAAAAACGGAGACTTTTCTACAATGCCTTACTTCGGTTAAAATTATAAAATTAAAATTCAATGCTCCATTCAAAGAAGCCGTCTCTCTCTCTCTGCTTCAAAGGCGTTTCTCCCTGAATTCTCTCTCTAAAATCCTCTGTCTCTGTCTTTTCTCTGCACTTATTATTATATACAATTATAATTAATTATTATAACATATTATATATATATACATATTTATATATAGGCCAGTGCATTTCCAATCTCGGTGGTTCTGCGATTTCTTTCTCTGTAGATTGAATTTGGATCTGTAGATCCGAATCAGAAGAAGAAGAAGAAGAAGAAGAAGAAGAAGAAGCAGCAATGGATAATGGAGAGAAAGAGGGCTCGGACGACAATGAATTCTCACCATCTCGAGTTCAGGTCGGAGGTCGCAAGTACAGGCCAGTTGTTGCTCACGACAACGATCGCGCTGTCCTCGAGATGTCTTCTCTCGATCCTGGATCTGCCTCCTCTTCTCCTTTCCCCAATCGCGATAAGTATGCCCTAATTCAATTCCCTCTCTCTCTATCTGCGTTCCTCAATCCGAATCTATATATGACGTGTCGTTTCTTTGTCAATTTAATGTATTATTTAGTGGAAAGTTTGAAATTACTGTTAAGAACTTTAAATTGATCATTTTTGATTTGGGTTTTGAATCTCTGTTTTGCAAGCTTGATAATCGTTTTACTTGTTTGTGGTTTTTTATTTTTTATTTTTTTAAACACATTTTATCGGTGAAGAAAAAGGAGCTGTAGAAAATAAATGGCTTTACGATTATGGAGAACTAGATAAAATTGGGGAAATAATTCTACAAAATTATTACAGATTCATGAAAAAGTTTATGATTTTAATTTATTAGTTTGCCACTTATTTGTATTTTTTTTTCTAAACATCCCTTGAACGGATATTTCCCTGATAAAATTCAGGGCGGCATAAGCTAAGGGATGACACCTTTATGATCTACGGTATATCTTAATACTTAAAAAGAAAAACATAATTTGAAAAGGATACAAGACACTACGGTTTTTACGCTTCTCTCACCATCCTCAATTTTCAGTCACCACATGCATCACACATAGTTGATGCTCCGTCTATCCACATTACTAGTACCCTCATATGTTAAATATCCCAACCAATCTCACTTTCCGTCTCTTTCTCTCTCCTGCACTAATTCAATCCTTCATGGTTGCCAGCATTTTCTAATTGATCATCACTTAATTTTTGCTTACATCCTTATAACCACCAATACAAGTTAAACTCCAAAAAACCAATTGCTCCACCATTGTCTTCACCACCATAACCACTGTTATTGTTGCCAAATGTGGCCACAACAAATGCATACATACATATATACTCTCTCTCTCTCTCTAATGAAACTAGAGAAACATCCACCAATGGTGGCCACGGCCATCTAAAATCGTTGCCATAAAAAATCCCCTTATCCACAATTATGTTAAAAAATCCTCTTGTAATTGTTTAGTGGGGTTAATGTCTTGGTGGATTTGTTAGGATGAGAAAGGAGAATCCTGTAGGGAATTAGTGGAGAGAGAGAGAGAAGATGCTAGTCTTGTATGTGGACTGTGATTTAGTTATGAGCACTTTTAATGTTGGTGGATTAGCAATGTAAATAGATCTAAGGTGGATATGGTCGTGTCGTGGCTTATGGAGGAGATAGTCTAAATAAAATTATGATGAGAGAGAGAGAGCAAAAAAAAGTCTTATTTTTATCTAATAAAATTAGATTTTTGATTTATTGAGACCGGTATATGCTAATGAGGCTAGGGTAGTGGTGTATTTCTTATAAATATTTTATCTGTTTGGTTATATTTGATGGTGTACGAACATTTTCTTATTTTATTGTGCTTAGTGTCTTTCTTTACACATGGTGATCCCATAAAACATATTGTCTGATCTTATGAAAATATCGTGTAGGATGACCGTAAAGTTTGAGAATAGTTAACCAACTAGGCCTAGCCTAGTTGGTCACCATGACTTTCCTAAGGATTTAGTCCCTAGGGAGAGGTCATGGGTTAAACTCTCCTTAGGAGAATTGAATTAAAGGGGCAAGCACTTGGTGCTTTGCGAAGGGTGGGGATGCTAACTCCCATATGTGCTAATCTAACAACTAACAATTGACTTTCGCCGATCAAAAAAAAAAAAAAAAAAGTTTGAGAATAGTGGGGGAAACATGAGTGAGTATCGAATAACTATAGGCTTGCGTCAGGAACGGTATTGAGTTCTCATCTTTTCTACTAATGATGGATAAACTTATCAGGCATGTTTAATAGGATGTCCTGTTGCTTATGTTGTTTGCCAATGACTTAGGTTTTAGTTGATGAAATTAGTGGTAAATGGTATGTTAGTGATATAGAGATATCATAATTTTAAGGTTTTAGGTTAACTAGAACAGGGTTGGAATATTTAGAGTGCTATTTTAGTAAAAATAGTATTATGAAGCGAAGTATGGTGAAATAAGATATCAAAAGTTTCCTAAAAATAGCCTCTTTTGACATCTTGGAATAGTAAGTTGTGGAGGATATTGCCTATAGACCTAGACTAGGATGATGCAATGGAAAAGCACTCCAAGAATTCTTTATGATAATAAAAGTTTTGCTAAGCTGAAGGGAAAGTCTTATAAGATAGCCATAAGGCTAGCTATCATACATGATACAAAATGTTAGGCAATTAAGAAACATGTTTAGATAATATATGTAATTTAAAGAAAAAAAATATGTTTCTATAAATTTAAATAGCACCTATTGAAAATAAATTGAGATAAGAGTATGTTGAGATGGTGTAACATAGGCTAGCTAATGCGTTGGAACATAGCAACTTGTTCCAAGTTGAATTTCACAAAAGGATATCTAAACAATATATATGGCTTATGGCCATGGGAAGTGACTTGTTGCCTCCTTCTATGAGCAAAGATATGGTGTTGTGACATAGAGTGAATTGGAGAAGAAAGATCCCTGTACTTGGAAGTCAAACTTGGTTTAGTAACATAGGTAAAATGGGTTTGCTATATAAATTGGATAATGAAATCATCTATATTTGTCATAGTCATAATGGTGCAGTAACTAAGAGGAGTTTTTTTAGCAAAGTGGGGGGGTTGTAATTTTTGAAAACATACATGGTCTTGTATCTTTCCTAACCTCATTATAATTTGGTTTATTTTTGTTGACTTTTAATTGAATTATTCTTTGTGTTTACAAAATTTAAGGAAAAGAAAGCAGTAATATCGGAGAAAATGAGATTCTTTTGTTGTGTGGGCTTATATGAAGTGGACAAAATTAGTGTGGTAAAAATAGGCAGTCAATTATGACATATATGACTTGATACATGTAATATATATCTTGAATGATCTCCTTAATTTGACACAACATGCATATCATTGCATGCATCACTTCAGAAGTTGTATAGAACTATAGCTACATGTTGTAATTTTTTTAATCATTTTTTATGTTATCACATTATTGAATGCTTTTAATTTGCACATAGTGGGCGGTGTGATATGGCATCTCTTCTCCGTTAAATAAAGTGTGCGCTGCTCATCAGAGTCGCAGTCTTAGCATCCACGTCCTTAAATGGAATAAAGAAGTTAGATATGCTTACATCTACAAAAACATTTTTTGAAAAAAATATGCAGTTATGCATGTATGTTGTATGAACTTCAGAAAATATTGTTTTTGTTATTTTAGCTCATTTAGTTTTTTTTTTCTTCATAAACTGTTGCAGGAAAATAAAAGTGAGCACGAGTTCTGATGTGAGAGAAGGGTCATTGCCAATTCATGCAGGAGCTAATGGCCCTCAAAGGGAATCTAAATTGGAATTGTTTGGTTTTGATTCTCTTGTGAATATTTTGGGTCTTAAGAGGTAAGAGTGAACCTGATTCATTTTTATTCCTTAAGTTTCCTTTTCACTGCTATGAAAATTTTAATAATTGCCGTGTCTTCTTTTTTTTAAAAAATAATTTTATTTTGAGCAGCTCTTTATTCACTTAATATGAAAGATTGCTGTTGTTATTGTTTCAGAGTTTACCATTTCTTTCCAATTGAACAGAGGGTGTGGGGGGAGGAGGGGTGGTTTCACGTGAACTCCTTTTGAATTTAAGACATTTCTTCGATTGATATGAAGTATTTACTTATGCTAAAGTTGTTCATTATTTCGTTATATCTTGGTAGTATGCTCAAGAGGTGTTAATTTCAGTATGACAGGGGAGCAGATTCCAGCACCTTCTAGTCCTAGAGATGGTGAGGATGCTTCTACAACTCTTGAGCATCCAAAGGTACCTAAATTTTCTTAAGCAAGTTGCCAAGTGATTCATGAACCTTTCCTTTCTTTTGTGTTAGTAAGTACTACTACTTTTGATAGGAGTTATATTGGGTTAAATGTGTTGATAATGATGCTACTATTTATCGTTATTATTGATTGCCATGATCTGTTGTTTTATAAAACATAATTGCCGGTGAAATACTATAATACCCTGTTTCACCAAAAAGACTCTTCCATGTTTCACATAGAGTTGGTGTGTCAAAATAATAACTATTTTACTTGCTCTTGGTACCATGAAACTAATGTAAACTCAAGGATCTGCATATTTCCCCTAAAATTCCCACAAGAAGTGACCTCACTTTGGAATTTGACAATTTAGCGTAACATGCAACTTCTTCTCATGAAACAGTAATGTAAAATAAATTGATGTATATTATTGATTGATGTATTACAAGATTGATTAATTACAATTCCTATACAATCTATATATAGAAGAAAATGTGGTAGTAGGTGTAGTGGAGGTGATAGTGGGTTAGGTGAAGTGGAGTGTGTGGTGAAGTGGAGGTAGGTGAAGTGGAGTGTGTAGTGGAGTAGGTGAAGGTAAAGATGGGAAATTCTAACAAGTAAGTTCTTAGCAAATTGCATCACCACTTGGCCATTAAAACAAATTTTAAGTGCAGTAGCAACCATTCTGCCAAATCTGTCTCCATGGAGTTGTCTTTGAAATTAATTTATTTTCCTAGTGAAATGTGATATATTGGAATTTGTCATGTGGTACAGTCAAATGTTACTTTTCAACCAAATCGTTGTATTATGATTTTGCTGCATTCACCGACTTGTCACTTCTTCCCAGTTATTCATCTTGGACAAGACAAATTGATTAGTGGAAAACAAAGGTTGCGTTTGGTAGAGTTTTATAATTAAGATTTGAGAATAGAGTTATATTTTGAGTTTGTGAGTTTTGGAATTATAATTTGAGTGTGAAAAATTTGTTTGGTTATCAAATTTAAAAACAGTTTGAATTGAATGATGTGACATATAATATTGAAAAGTTGGTGTTTTGAAAAGTGGGTGTGAAATTAATTTTTTAAAGTTATAACCAAACAACACACTCAAACTACTGAGTAGAATTAAATTTCAAAAACTCTGCCAAACGGAGTCAAAAGTTCCTGGAATAGCTGTTCTCTGAACTATATCATATCATTAATGGTTGGGGGGAATTTCTTTTTGTTTACTGCAACCCTTAATTCCAATCTTAACATGGAATATACAAATATTACTGTATAAATATGAACTGGGCTTATTTGTCTTATTTAGTATTTTAAGTGTAAGTAGCAGTTCTTTGGACTATAACCTGTGCAATAGTTACTTAATTTCTGAAATTAATGGCTCTCTGATTTATTTAAAAAGGGTTGATAGTCTCTGTTTAGTCTTTCTACAGAAAGCCATTTTAGTTTTTTATTTATTTTTATTCAGAAGGATATTAAAAAAAAAAGAAAAGGGGGGGGGGGGGGAAAAAGGGACAAAAGAGGGGCAACACGAGGACTTCCCAGTGGGTCACCCTTCCTAGTACTACTCTCGCCCACAGTTTGGTATGACATAATCAGTTTGTTTGGTTTTCAGTTTTCAAAAACAGTTTTCTGAGTTTTCAATTTGTATTTTTATATTGTTTATGATTTTTTTAAATATTTTTATCAATTTTTTTTTTTAAAATTTTTAGATTCACTTAATCTTAATACACTCAAAAAGTTTTAAAAATAAAAAAATAAAAAATTGTACAAAAATCTTTATTGAATAGAATAAAATATGAAAATGTATTGAATTTTCGTTTTTTTTTTTTTTTTTTTCTTTTAGGGAATTTTTAATTTTCCCCCCCCTTCAAAAAAAAAATATATAATTATAAACTATTTTTGTCAAATGTGTCATTCTTCTTATATCTAAAAAATAAGACATTTGTGTAAAATATTTAAAAAAAAAACTTAAAAAAAAAAAAACACGGAAAACAAAAAACTCAATTTTCTGAAAAGTGAACTCAATTTTCTGCAACCAAACGTGGTGAATAGAATTAGGGGAATAGAAATGATGCATATTTACCTGTGTTGTTGTAATATACTTCTTCATTGTAATTTTAGCTTGTTATAATATCCAAACCAACCTTTCATGGCCATTGTTTGGCTAGGTTTTTGTCACTCTGAGGCTTGAAAGTTGACACATTGGTCATAGTTTACGGATAGTTTTATAATCTCTCCCTCTTAGAAAGTATGGTGTATGGTATTTGGATGCTTTTTCATGTCTCTGATGTGCCCTTGTGATGCAGACTACGGGCCTCAAACTAGGGACGATGATGGGAGTGTTTGTTCCATGCTTGCAAAACATTTTGGGAATCATCTACTATATTCGATTTACCTGGTAAACTTCATATAACTGATGTTTATCTTGGTGGTTTTTCCAATTATTCTATTTTGTTCTATACGTAGGGGCACTTGTGTGTATGCCTCTATAAGTGCTAGTGCACCTCTTTATAGCACAGTGTATTTGTCCATTAAGGCTGTCTATCAAATTTGTGGTATCAAATGAGTATTGCTTGGTTCTATGTTGGACAATCATATAAAACTTCGTTTTCCTTTGATATCACATATTCCTCATGTTTTCTCAATAATGTTCCTGTGTCTTTTTCCCTTATACAATAATGTGATTTTTGAAACTTTCTCAAACTCTCTTACTAATGGTAACTTTCAATCTATCCTTTGATGCTTGATGTTCTAGTAAGTATTAATTTGGGACAAGTACTCTCGAAGGGTATTTCTGCTAGATCACTGCTAGTTCCAAAACCTTAAGTTGTTAGGAAATGAGTCTAACAATGTAAATCAAGCTATCCAACACCATCCCTCACATGCAACTCTATCTTGCACATAAAGATGCAATCATCCAAACATAGAGAGAAACAGATGCAAATGGAGAACAAATGCAGATGGACCGGAGAAACTTGAACCTAAGACCTCCCCTTACCTAAGTTTTGATATCATGTTAGATCACCACTAGTTCAAAATTAGGAAATGGGCCTAACAATGCATATTAAGATATCAACGATTGTTTTTGATTTGTATACTTGGAGAGCAGTATCTGACATATATTTTTTAGTTTCTTTTTGGTGGACTTCTTGAATCCCCTTTGTTTTTTTGTACTTATTTCATCTGTTTTAATTAAAATTTCTTTGTTGCTATAAGAAAAAATAGAGAGTTGATGATTTGAGTGTCCTGTTTAGATGGCAGCGTTGAATGCATATCCCATACTGTTGTGCTTCTCATATTGGGTTGACAGGGGTATGTTGAAGGAAATAGAAGGGCCCATACTGTTTATTATTAATCAGCATATAGGTGAATGTGACTAGGGTTAGGTTTGTGCGGATATATTCTAAATACTAGAAAGTCCTGTTCCTATTCCATCCCTTTTACTCTTCTGTTGGTATTTTTGTATAAATTTTATTTATTTAAACCTTTCGTGTGATAAATTTTTTTCCGTATTTTGGTGGACTTGATTAGACTTTGATGGTCTAATTCTTTCTCTTTTACCCCCTCTCTTGTTGAATAACTAAAGACGATAGTATGCTTGTGTGTGTGCGGTGCATGTGTGTTCTTTTTTTCCACCCCAGGGGTTGGGGATGGGTGGGTTAATTGGACATAATTTGAGCCAATTGCTTTTTCCGTTGCTGTGAAAATTGCAGGATTGTTGGTATGGGTGGAATCGGTGAATCATTATTGCTAGTTGCCTTCTGTGGCTTATGTACTTTCCTGACTTCAATTTCCTTGAGTGCCATTGCAACTAATGGTGCAATGAAGGTATGACACATATTGGTTTTTTAGTTGTACTACTAGCTTTGCTTGTTGGTTTCATATTCAGAGATTCTCAGTCTTGATGTAAGAAGTGGAAGTCTGATTCTTCCAGGACTCTAATAATCAGTTTTTTTTTTTTTTTGGGAGGTGTTATGTTAGAATCAACACTGGAAATATTTTTTCCTACGAACTTCTAAATACAATCTGCTTTTACATTATGTTTTTACATGCAATTGAAGGAAAATTGGGTAGCTTTTCATTTCTGGTTATTTAGTTACTAGGGCTATAGGTCACACATTTCATTTCTTTTTCTTTTTTTTGTTTTTGTTTTTTTGTTTTTGTTTTAGTTACTATTGTCTTGATGTAAGAAGTAGAAGTCTGATTCTTCCATCACTCTAATAATCAGTTTTTTTTGGCGGTGTTATGTTAAAATCAATACTGGAAATATTTTTTTTATACAAACTTCTAAACATAATCTGCTTGTACATTATGTTTTTACATGCAATTGAAGGAAAAATGGGTAGCTTTTCATTTCTTGTTGTTTAGTTACTAGGGCTATACGTCACACATTTCCAGTACTAATATATTACAGCTCTCTCCAAGCTTGTTTTAGTTGCACACTTATACTATTGGCTTTATGTAGAGGTGGAAACTCAACTCTAAACTGTGAACCCGCCCAGTTAAACTTAAATCCATTAAAAACCTGTCCAAATATGTAAACGGGTTTAAATGGGTTGCATCTTGCAAATCCAATTAAAATTTTGGATATTTAAAATTGTGTTTAAAAACCCGCAGCAGCCACCGCGACTTCCCTACTCTACCAACCCTCCCTACTACTAAAGTGAGTAAAATTTTAAGTGGTTGCTAGGAAAATAAGCAACACAAGTGATAAAAAAAGATATAGCCCCATAAATAAAGTGATACCAGAATTACAAAATTAAAAACCATGTTATCTCAATGAGAGTGATTGGAACAACTTTTGAACAGATAAAATGGTCTTCAAATCTTCACTCCTATGTCCCATAGAGCTCGAGCATTTGAATTGCAGCCAAAACTTCTAAAATCAATCTCAAGTATTAGAGAGCAAGAAGAAGGAATGACCTAATCTGTACCCACAAGCTGGAATAGATTGTGCCATAAAAATAGCAACTGGAAAATGCAAGAATATATGGTCTATACTCTCATGATCCCTTCTACACATGATACCTCATTCAAGTAACAAGATGCAAGTCTACTTTTCTTGAATCATATCATTAGTATAGAGCTTTTTATGGACCACAGACTATGAAAATACTTGGGTTTCATATGCATTCCAAATCATTTTGTGAGCATCAAAGGGTGGCACATCTGATTACCAACAAGCTTATCAAAGAATGACTCGCAAGAAAAAAACCCGAGGAATGAATGGTCCTAAATCTTCCATTACACACCCTTTCTCAAAGACGCATCATGAAGAATATAGATAACAAAGTTACCAATCCATTAGCTTGACGATCATTAAGATCTCCAAAATAATTAAAATTCCAAGAGTTCATTGCCAAAGAAGAGGCAACTGTTGAAGCAATAGAACATTATGATTTTGGGACAAAGGATACCACTGAGGGAACAAAAACATAAATAGACTTCACCCCTTCCACACGTCTTTCCCAAAACAAATGGACTCTCTGTTACCCATACTAAAGTGAAAAAATTGCTCAAAATAAGGAAGACCTTGGGAGGTGCATTTTCATGGAGCTCTAGAGCTGCCCCTACTAACCACCTGAGAATCCTTGCTCTTGATGATCGAATGCTATAGTGAATCATGTTTAATAGGAAATGTCCATGACCACTTCCCAAGTAAAGCCAAGTTCTTATCTCTAATGTTTCCAATGACAAGAACTCCCTTTACTTATTGGAAGAGACACCGTCTCCCAATCAATCAAATGGTTCCATTTACCCCTCATCCTTACCTTCCCCCAAACTCATTAACTAGTCAATTCTATTTGCCACACCAATTGGTATTCTAGACTATGTCAAAAAATAGATAGGTTCATTGGACAACACAGGTTGAACCAGAGCAAACCTACCTCCCTATAAATAAATGAGTTTTTATTGATCTACTTGCTTATGAAAATTTTGTGGGTTCTTGTTACATATCTGAAAGCATAAAGTTGATTGGTTCTTGTTATGTAGTTTAATAGTGGAATCTTTACTAATCTACTTTCTTGATCCGTCAACGGTACATCTAGGGTGGGGGACCTTACTATCTCATTGGTCGAGCTTTGGGTCCAGAAGTTGGAGTCAGCATTGGGTTATGTTTTTTTCTAGGGAATGCAGTCGCTGGAGCTCTGTGAGTGTATATCATTACTTTATTTATCATGGCATGGTATTTTGTATGGCTGAAGTTGACGAGGATGATGGAAATGAGGCTAACCATTATTGCACCTAGTTCAACAGAAGATTTAATCACAATGTCCTAAAATTATCGTCTTTGTTTTTTGTTGCCTAATGTTTTCAGTTATGTGTTGGGAGCTGTAGAGACTTTTCTAAAAGCTGTGCCGGCTGCTGGGATTTTCAGAGGTAATCTCTTGAGAAAGCTCCGGAAATGACATTCAAATCTTTGTTGTAAAGTAAACTGATTCTTGCTACATTTGTATTGATATGACCCTGTGGAGCTTGTCAAAGCAGAAATTTGCCTAATTTGTGTTCTGTTTAATTTTGCATTTGTTCCCTCGGCAACTTCAATTAAGTAGCATGAGAGTTGTACCAAAACTCCCATCATAGACTGGTTTCATCTTTGGAATACCTTCAAGTACTTTAGTGTAGTACGTCTTGGGCATGTTTGGTCTGTCTCTCAAAACATGTTTTTGGAGAAAAAATTGCAAAAACATGTTTGATTGAATTTTTTTAAAAAAAATTCCAAAATCACTTCTCTTTACTACACATCAATCAATCACTTTTTCTCTCTCTTCTCTCTTCTCTCCTCAATCACTTTTTTTCTCACACCCATCTATTCAATTACAAAAAAAATATCAAATCATCCCAAACTCCAAAACTATTTTTAAAATATACAATCAAACAAATTTTCAAAATTTCTAAACTCTCTCTAGAAAATTATTTTTGAAATAATATCTCAAAATACAAACCAAACAAGGCCCGTTTGTTTTGTCCAAATAGCATTTTTGTGCATGTGGTAGTCTCTTCTGGTTGCAGTCCCTGACTTGTCAACTTTTGATGTTACCTGATACCTCTGTTTTCTATACATCTTATGAAGTTGGTCTCATGAGTGATGGTTGGTTATTGGTAGTTGTGCATAATAATGAATCATTTTTCAAGGATGTTGAGTGTATCATGTACCTCCAAATTTGATTTTCCTGCCCATTTTATCCATGCAGAAACTGTCACAAAAGTCAATGGCACATCAGTAGAGCCTATTTCAAGTCCAAGTCTACATGACCTGCAAATTTACGGGATTATTGTGACCATCATTCTATGTTTTATTGTGTTCGGTGGTGTAAAAATGATCAATCGGGTTGCACCTGCTTTTCTTATCCCCGTTTTACTCTCAATTTTCTGTATATTTGTTGGGATTGCTGCGGCAAGGAAGGATCATCCAACAAGTGAGTGTTCTTAACTCTTTTTCGCCTACTTTTCTATTTGTTTTTTATGTTGCATGTTGTCTAAACCATAAATATGATAGGCAATGGCATGCATGGTACTAATGTAGATCAAGCCTCTCATACTTGGGATGTGGATGGCTGAAGAAACATTTGGACCATGCATGTGGTGCCTAGGTCCCAGTCCCATTTAGAATTTATAAATGTCAAAAGTTAAAAAAATTCTTCTTGATATGCATCTTTGTCTTTTAATTTTTTAAATATGATTGTTTTTTGAAAAAGAAAGTGAAACCTCAAAAGTGACTTGTTTTCTTTTTAACCTCTTGCCTTCCCGATTTTTCTACTGCATAGCTCGCTAGAGAAAGCACCAGGCATGATTTGTCAAAGCTCATCGCCTAGTAGTCAAATTGTGTAGCTAAATCTAGATTTCTTCAACTAGTTGGTGACTTCTTTTTTCCGTCACCATTGCTTCACTTGCAAATATGCTCATTACTCTTCTGAGGTTGCTAAATTGCTTGACCAAGACAAAATTGCCTTCTAACATCATGGACTTTTGTTGTTATGACCATAATAGTTCCACTAAAAAATGGGTAAATTACAATAAACCCTCCTAAACCGTGGCCCTTTTCACGTTGCCCCCTAATGTTTAAAACTCAACACTTAAGCCCCGTCATGTATATAGGTTGCAAATGCTATGGATGCCGTTGAGGAAAAATGTCTATTTAAAATTTTACACTTCAACACCCCACCGTTATCGTCCTCAACCCCACCCACAATCTCTATCTCTTTCAAAACAACCCACTATTTAGCCCGCCACCCTATTGCCAACCCCCACCACCGACCACCTCCTCTTCCCTCTGCCTACCACCAGTCGATTGAAACCCCATTCGACAGTCTCTCTCTCTCTCTCTCTCAAACACACACACACACCAACTTGGCACCTACCATTGTTGATTGCTCGAGAAGATCTCCAACCAACTTGGTGACATTGATGAGGTTTATCAGCATGACTAAGGGCATTGCAGATGGAGGCAACAACCTTGCTGGAGCCGAACCAAGCGTCAGTTTTAGCTTCTACTTCCCTAGGGAGAGATAATCCACCATCAATCGAAAATGATCAATTGAACATCAACAATAATTTTAGCAAACAATTACCCTTAACATCATTTTAAACATGTTATTCAAGGATTGTAGAAGAGAGCTAGGATTAGGGTTAGAAATCTTACCTTAATTTCAAACTTCAACTTGATCTTCTAGCTTTTCCATTTTTCCTTCCTTTCTTTCTCTCTAGCCAAGCTAGTAAAATCTTATTAGATTAGCTTCTCTCTTTCTTTTTATATTTCTTCACTAATCATAGGTATTATCATAATTAAGAAAGACGCAAGTCTCTATCTGTCTCAATCCATTTTCTGCTCAAGTAGGTGATGTCAACCACGCAAGTAAGGAGTCTTTACACTAATTAATCATGTTTAAGAATAATTAATCAAGATCATATCGCTAATAATATGTTTCCTTGTTAATCCTGATTATTCTGAATTAATCACGATTAACTTCTTACATAATTTCTAGAAATGTGACTCACATTAGGATGTTTAAGGTTTAAGCACCTTGATTAGGCTAACCAATTTTAGGGTAAGTTAATTAAATCACATTAGAGACATTTTACTAGACATGCTTGCACATTAAAACTTACATTTTACAAGGAAAACACAAAGGGTTCTCATATTAACAAGAAATGCATATCAAGTTATAATTCACAAAAGGAAGGCGTGTGATACTTGAATCATTCTTGTAAGAAAGAGGAAAAACCATAAATGCACTTGTGAAAGAAGTGATAACCACCAATATGCTATGAAATGGTAGGATAGGGTCATTACAATACTTGATTGAATGCTTGATGCAGCTGGAGTCACGGGTTTGAGTTTGCAAACGTTCAAAAACAACTGGAGTCCAGAGTATCAGACTACGAACGAAGCTGGAATACCTGATCCTGAAGGAAAATCAGACTGGAGTTTCAAGTAAGTTGTGCCAATAATTCTAGATGCTACTGATAAATTTTGTTGGTTGCAATGTGTTCATTTCATAATTTGTGTCAATTGTCAGATTTTGATATTCTTTAGGAAATTGATGCTGTGACTTTTTGGATCACTTCAACATTTTGTTAGCCCATGTTGGTGTTTGCTAAATTCAAATAAATTTTGCCTCTCATTCTAAATTTAGTTATATATATATTTTTTCTTTTTTTTTTATTTGAAAAAAAGAAAAGAATTAGTAGAACTTTTTGCTTAATCATATACTGCGGCTTTGCTAGTTGTATTGGCTTTCTCTATGAGATGTTTGCGAGTGTTGGATGAAAAATATTTTGTTTTATGTATTTGTTTTTTGTCATTATATACCATAGGATTTCTCATTGTATAGTCAACTTTGCATCCATGCTATACTTTTAAGGACTATAATGTTGCTCGTGCAAAAGGCCAACAATTCTGGGTTCAAGTTACCTAATAGCATGAAAATGTCCTAGAAATTCTGTTGTCACTTCATGGTATTCATTTTTTTGATAAGTTAAGGGGTGCGACCTAAGCTGTTGGTTGCCTGTTTAATTAATGAATTAATGTTTTTTCGAGGGACACGTCGGGGACATGCCATCTA